TTGAAAGGATTCTCTTTAAGGAGTAGCAGTTTAAGAGTAGTAGTTTAAAAGAATTTGAACACCTTAATCTTACTTTGGTTATTTTCTGCTTTCTGCTTTGGTTCTCATGCTGAAACTTAGTGGCATAAGAGGAAATAAACATGAATTTATGGAGGAATAGGTTGAAAAAAATGCTATTGCTAACAGTCTGCCAGGGCAGCCGTGGTTATGGCTAAGGGAGGTTTTCCTACAGCTTGTTTGTAAGGTGTTCCAGGTCTGTGTTACCCTCCCAGTGGGCAAGATTTTCCTACAATCCAACCTGAACCTTCCAAGCCTGTCACCTGTGACCATCTCTCCTTGTTTTACCACCTGCTATTACAGAGCAGAGTTGCAGAATATCTTGGGTTGGGAGGAGCATCTGAAGGTTGTCCAGTCATCTGGTGTGACTTGTACCAACCAGGGCTAACCGCAAGGCTATACCTGGTTGTCCAGGGCCTCATCCAGTTGACTTCTGAGTGTTGCCAAGTGTGGAGGCTTCGGCACATCTCTGGCAAACCACTGGAACAGGATTTTTGTCATTCTCTCATGGAGAAGAGGGTTTTTTCCTTATGTCCAGTTGCATGTTGCAGCTTTAATCACCTGCCCACTTGTCCACTTGCTATGCACCCCCAGGAAGGGTACGGCTCTGCCTTCTCTCTAACATTGCTGCAGGTAGTGGTGGACTGCAATTAGATCTGCCTCTTAACTTCTTTTCCAGGCTGAACAAGCCTAGTTCACTCAGCCTCTCTTCTTACATTGTTCCAACTATGCAGTCATCTTAATGACCATCTGCTGGATTCTTCTTCAGTTTGTGGACATCTCTATTGCACAGGAGGCTGAAAACTGGAGACAATAATGCAGATGCAGGCTCTCAGTTGCTGAGTAGTGGAGAATAAGCACTTCCCTTGACTTGGTGGCTCTGTACTTGTTAAAGCAGGCCAGTATGCAGTTAGCTTTCATCATTGTGTGGATCCGTTACTGACTCATGTTCAACTTGTCCACCAGGATGTCCATGTCCTTTTGTGCAGAGCTGAGATCTAGCCAGTCAGTCTCTGGCCTGTACTTTTGCATGGGGCCATTGCATTCCAGCTACAGGAGTTTGCATTTTATTCATAATTTTGCTCCATTGTCTTAAATATCTTCCCTTCTAGTAATTGTAGACAGCAATAACAGGGGCCCTTAGTGTCTCCCTTGCCAGAACAAGCAATGCCATCCTCTCCTTGTGTATTATATTCTTCAGGCTCAAATTGTTGGTTTCTGTCTGTCTGTCTTAAGCCTTGACATAGGTCTTTCAGAGCTCTTGACTTAAAGAGCATTATGGAAAGGTAAACACTGTTAAAGGAAGTAATTTGCAGTAAAGGAAAAATGCATAAAAATGGAAGAGAGGTACAGAAGAAAAACCCAACTGAAAATAGAAAATCCATGTGAAGAAATATTTTGGTGTAGTCTAGTTTGAAAAACTTAGAATAAATTACTGAAAAGGATAAGTAGTGTAATGCTGATATTCCACAGCTGCATGTTATCATGCATTGCATGTTTTGTTCTCTGCTTATTCCAGCTTTAATCTTGCAGTTAGCTAATGATAATATGAATACCTGCGCTCTTGAGGAGCCTAGATTAAGTTAATTATTATTTATTTATTTATTTTAGAGAAACAGAAGAATAAATATTTGAAAATGAGAGTAAATGTGTTTGTTATATAAGGTGATGAGACAAACAATAACATTTGGTAGTGCCGTGCATTTATTCTTTTAAAATTGTCTGGGTTGGAAAATGAAGATGGTCTTTGAGGGGGATTAGCAATAAGGCTGCTGTAACGTTTGTCATACTCGGTTTGATTATCCAATACCTGACTGGAACTGAAGATGTTTCTATCCAGAACAGGACTGTCATTACAGTATGTGAAGTACCCCTTGCTTCCATGTGAACCCATCATACAATTTGACATGTTATCCCCTTGAATGTTTTTGATTTTTCTTTTTTTCTCTTCTAAAATGCAAATACTCAGGATGCATAATAACATACATTTTGTAGCAACATGCTATTCCTTCCCTGGCTGCTCTCACCGCATCTGTTGGTTTGATTTCCTATTGCTGGCAGCAGTAACTTTGTTTTGTTGTAGTTGGTGATTAGATGTCATTAGGATGAGTGTGGTAAATGGCAGTTTTCTATCCAGAGTAGGTTCTAAAGGCATTTTTTTGGTTTGTAGCCAGAAAATATATGGATTAAATTGAACACATTGTACAATTATTTGATTTCCTCGATAACGTTTTGAAGACTCAGTACTCATCAGATTTCTGTCTTTGTTTTTCAGATGGTACCTTGAGAAATTTGAAGACTACCCAAAGTGCAGAAAAATTGTGATCCCGTTTGTGTACTGAGCTGTGCTTTTAACACTGTTTTGAAATGGATACTTTTGGTAACAGACAATGCTTTACAGGTATTGGCCAGTTAAAAACATACTCTGATCATCATGGTGACAAAGCCTTTGCATCAGTGCTGCTATTAGTTACTGCTTTTTCTCCTAATGAAAACCCAGAATCTGATGGACATGGTGAACAGGAACAGAAATGCTTTTCCAACAGCAGAGCACCATCATAAATTACAGTAGGCAAGGTGTCTGAATTCACATCATGGAAAGTACTGTGCAGGACTTCTGGTGCTTCCTTCTCTGACGGTTGTGGTTTAACCCCAGCCGGCAACTAAGCGCCACACGGCTGCTCACTCACAGAAGGAAGGGAGAGAAACTGGCAGTCCTGCAGTGATGATAACTTGCCTACAACTAAACCACTGGACTGCCAGTTGCTCCTCATCATGGTGACTGGGATGACCAATCCTGCTGTCGTGGTTTAACCCGGCTGGCAACTCAGCACCACGCAGCCGCTCGCTCACTCCCCCCCCTCCCTCAGTGGGATGGGGGAGAGAATCGGAAAGAAAATAAAAGGTTAGAGCCGAGGGCTGAGATAAAGACAGTTTAATAAGAGAAAATAATAATAATAGTAATAATGAGAATGGTAACAGAATATACAGAATATACAAAACAAATGAGGCACAAGGCAATTGCTCACCACCCACCGACCGATGCCCAGCCCGTCCCGAGCCGCAAGCAGTCCCCGAGCCGCGAGCAGTCCCCGAGCCCCAAGCAGTCTCCCAGCGACCGACCGACCGAACTAACCGCCCCCCCCCAAGCATGACGTTATATGGTATGGAATAGCTCTTTGGTCAGTTTGGGTTAGCTGTGCTAGCTGTGCTGTACTCCCAGCTTGTTATGCACCTGGGCAAGCAGGAGAAGCTCAAAAAGTCCTTGAGTAGTCTGAGCACTACTTGGCAACAGCTGAAAACATCAGTGTGTTATCAACATTCTTCTGGTACTAAATCCAAAACACAGCACTATGCTAGCTACTATGAAGAAAATTAGCTCTATCCCAGCCGAAACCAGGACACCTGCTTTCAGCCAATATCCAAAAAGTCCAGCTTTGGAGAACATAGGAATACCCATTCCTTTGATGCTAGTGTTGTTACTTGATTCTCAAGTTGTTTAATAATTTCTTTAGTGTTTACATATTTCCTTAGTGTTTTAGAGAAAGTTTGAGGCTTCCCCTGTTGTTTTTGTTGCACACTATAATTCGACATTTAATCCTAGCTGTTTTGGTGAACACTCAGTCATGAAGTTCCCTGGGGAGAGTATTGTGGGGAGGATGACTTACTCCTCAATGCTGAAGTGGAGTTAGTGGACAATAAAAGTTCAATAGGATCACTTAAAGCATATTCTGAAGAGAATTTTAGAAACCTAGTCTTATATTTCTAAACCCTATAACATCCCTGTGGCAGTTTTAAAAATCTTCGTATCTAAATCATTCAGCTATCCAAATCTGTTTTAGGGGAAAAAATACAGGATTTAAAGAGTGCTATCTACTGTAGGTGTTTAAATACTTGCATAGACTGTGGTGAATTAATATCTTCTATCTTTAGGGATATTTGTTAAAAAAACGCTAATGGGACAACCAACCAGTAAAAAAGATCCATCTATAGTACTTCAGTCTCTAATCCACGTTTGGTTTGGTTTTTTTTTTTTTTTTGGCCTTTTATGAAAAGGCAAAGATTCTTTCAACAGAAAACAGTGAGGGAAACTGCTTAATGTTCAGTGTGTCTCCTTATATTCAACAGCTGTAGCTCTCTGTAGCCAGTAGTCTTTATTATAGTTTACAGCAAATTTCTACTGATGTCTCAGTTTCGCTCTGGTGCTATGCTGCTAAATTTTGATCTTGACTGGTTCAGCTGGTTTGCTCACATAATGTTAATTTATGTTTTACTTATAGCAGGATGGGGATCTGAAATGTGATGCTCTGACAGCTTATCTGTGTTCCTTTTCTTATTACAGAAAAGGAAAAGCTAAGGTCTATGGGATGTGAATGTCAGTGCATTTATAAATTCTAGTTAATTGGATTATAAAAAAACCCAGAAAAACAGATAAGAAGGTTTTATGGTTTTATTCTTTGTGTGTTTCTATTTCATATTCTTGGTATACTGCTGGAACCTTCCTTAAGTACTGAATTTATTTGAGGCAGTTCATTAGAGGACAAATCTTAGGAGAAGCGGCTGAGGGAACTGGGGTTGTTCAGCCTGGAGAAGAGGAGGCTGAGGGGAGACCTTATCGCCCTCTACAAATGCCTGAAAGGAGGCTGTAGCGAGGTGGGGCTCCCAAGTAACAAGTGATGGGACAAGAGGAAACGGCCTCAAGTTGCGCCAGGGGAGGTTTAGATTGGGTATTAGGAAAAATTTCTTTCCCCAAAGGGTTGTCAAGGATTGGAACGGGCTGCCCAGGGAAGTAGTCGAGTCCCCATCCCTGGAGCTATTTAAAAGACGGGTGGAAGTGGTGCTTAGGGACGTGGTTTAGTGGTGGACTTGGTAGTGTTAGGTTAATGGTTGGACTTAATGATCTAAAGGTCTTTTCCAATCCAAATGATTCTATGATTCTTGCATTTCAAGACCAAGATATGTTGGTGAAAAGCATGTGATCAGCTTGGTCAAGTGCTAGAACTGCCTTTTGTTTAAGCAGTATCCCATATAATTGTCATACTTCACTTGTGCTCCCTTTCCCTTTCAGCAGCTTTGACAGAATTTTTCTGTTAGAAAAATATCTGATACTGAAAAATTTTTCTTGAAAATATGCAGTGTGAAAATGAACTCTGTTCTGCCCGTTCCAGAAGGAGAAAATGTGTATGCTTACTGTTCAATATAACATCTGTAGCAATTTTTAACAGAGACACTTCTATGCAGACTGCCTACATCTTCCCCCAAAATCCCCTACTAATAAAATATGGTTTGCACTGTCTTGCTCGAATACTTTTTTCTGTTAGTAATCCTTGCTATAACTTGTAGAGTTTGACCAAGGCTTTTGTACCAGGGATTTCATAATCTCAGATGAGGTTTTGAGGACTATTATAGTAAGATTGTATTAGAATAATCTAGATGCATATGTGAACTTGATGAGATGCACTCAAAAAATAAATTATTGAAAGTCACAAGTTAAGAATGTATCACTAGACAAATTCAATTATGTAAAGCAATGTGCATAGCTGAAATGTTCTACACTTGCATTTAGAGCAAAGATTAACAGAAGCGGAGGCTACTTGTTTGGGTTCCTCTTCTCCTGCTAGGTCATGGTGAACTTTTCAATTGGAACAACTGTAGCAGCTGCCACTTCAACTATTTTAATAGCGGAAAACAGCATATTGTCTTTTTGAGGAATGAAGATAGCGTACAAATGACTTGTCATATAAACTTGTATGCTTTCAGCAGGCAAGAAACCTTGAGTGCCTACCACAGAGTTTTTACAGCCTGTTTGGGAAAAACACCTGTAACAAACACCCGTTTGTTAATTTAAATAAACTGATAATTTTAGTATGAGAATGTCCCAGCCTGTTCTATGCTAGTAAGTTTTACCAGTAGCAGTTGCACTCAGAGCAGCCTTTCACACATGTATCAATCAGTTTTGTGAGGAAAACAGATGTCTGGGTAAAATTGCACCACTTTTTGCAGAGATGCAATGTATCTATCAGCATGTATGTGCCCCCACAAAAACGCATGTGAGCAAGCAATTGTGGAAATTCCTCTTGCAAGACAACTGAAGGGATAAGCCTAAAACAAGGCTTGCATCTGAGGGAGTTACACAACTGCAACTTGCTGTTGAAAAAAAAAAAAAAAAAAAAAAAAAAGTCTTGTTAGATCCCTCGCTGCTGTGTACAAGTGGATGGTGGAAGCAATAGGTTATTTGTTCACAGAGATGAAAGAATACCTGTATAACGATTGGTACAACATTTGGTGTAATGCCTTTCCAGAGATGATATGTTACCAGTGCGCTAGCAAGAGCCTTGCAGTGACATTGTTTGACCCTACTCCCTAATATTTGCAGCCTCTTTTTTTTGGAAATGCCTGTCTACCTGTCCAGTTTCTGAGAGGATGTGGGTGGCTGGATCTGAAGAGGGAACACTAGCGAAGCCATGTGTTCCAGCTGCTCTGGGAGGGAGCATTCCATTTCTCTTGGGCTACTGTAAGGAAACAACAGTACAAACTTAACTTGGTAGTGTTAGGTTAATGGTTGGACTTAATGATCTAAAGGTCTTTTCCAATCCAAATGATTCTATGATTCTTGCATTTCAAGACCAAGATATGTTGGTGAAAAGCATGTGATCAGCTTGGTCAAGTGCTAGAACTGCCTTTTGTTTAAGCAGTATCCCATATAATTGTCATACTTCACTTGTGCTCCCTTTCCCTTTCAGCAGCTTTGACAGAATTTTTCTGTTAGAAAAATATCTGATACTGAAAAATTTTTCTTGAAAATATGCAGTGTGAAAATGAACTCTGTTCTGCCCGTTCCAGAAGGAGAAAATGTGTATGCTTACTGTTCAATATAACATCTGTAGCAATTTTTAACAGAGACACTTCTATGCAGACTGCCTACATCTTCCCCCAAAATCCCCTACTAATAAAATATGGTTTGCACTGTCTTGCTCGAATACTTTTTTCTGTTAGTAATCCTTGCTATAACTTGTAGAGTTTGACCAAGGCTTTTGTACCAGGGATTTCATAATCTCAGATGAGGTTTTGAGGACTATTATAGTAAGATTGTATTAGAATAATCTAGATGCATATGTGAACTTGATGAGATGCACTCAAAAAATAAATTATTGAAAGTCACAAGTTAAGAATGTATCACTAGACAAATTCAATTATGTAAAGCAATGTGCATAGCTGAAATGTTCTACACTTGCATTTAGAGCAAAGATTAACAGAAGCGGAGGCTACTTGTTTGGGTTCCTCTTCTCCTGCTAGGTCATGGTGAACTTTTCAATTGGAACAACTGTAGCAGCTGCCACTTCAACTATTTTAATAGCGGGTCAGCCGCA